TTCTCTCAGTTATTTATTATCAAAAACACAGTTTTACAAATTATAGTTGTCTTACGCTGTATACTACTGAAAGTAAAATATAGAATTTGCACTATTTAATATAAATGCATAGTATAATTTTTATAATTATCTTATCACTGTATAAGCAATAAGCAGTGTAGCACTGGAAATTCTCGTTAATTGCGAACCTGCAGTACTTGAGTACATCGTAATTATAATTATGTCAAATTTTACTTAAAATTTAGAGTTCAATTCATTTATTATAACATGAGGCAAATTTTCCGCCCCGTTACTTGTTAACACAAGATAATACTCCATAAAATTTCTAATTAATATAGAGTATACACTGTCTGAAATGACTATACAGCAATCTACGCTAAATTTAGCCAGCAAATGTGGTGCAATTTATTCATGGTAAGCTTGAAAAACTATTTGTGTACTGCGAGTATAGCATACTACTACCGTATACTAATTCTTGAACATTGCAATAGCACTAAAAATTCTCCTTAATGGAATTTTTGTACAAATCGACATGCCTTGCACAAGTATACTAAATTCTATACCGTAGTTTGCACATGCCAAAGAGACTACACCTAGTCTTTCAGCATTTGAAATAGACACAAGAATCTTGACTTTTAAGCTGTATTCTTCTTGACCTGATACAAAGGTTAAATTTATTGTTAATTTCATAATTACTCATAATATAATGATACACGTCATGTTAGTAATAACAGTACTAAGGTTGCTTGTTAATAAACCTCCACAGCATTTTATTTTGCCAAAATGTGGAAATTGTGGTAGTATAAGCAGATAAAGCTTCATATAACTTTAGAAGGATAGTTGTACTTTATGTGCACTAGGGGTTTCTGACGAGACTATGAAAGGCTGGTGCCTGAAGATCACTTCTTAGTTAGTTATTCAGTTAGTTAGCCAACTAGTTTGTCAATTGCTATTGAATTATCTAGGCTAAAATCTTGGTTGTCAAGATTTCTTCGGTAATAAATAGTAGAAAATCTCTGACTTCCTCGTCTACACTATTAGTGACTCTATAATTATACTATAGTATTCGATCGTTGTAACTGAATTATTTGGTGATATAGCGAATCTCGCCTCTTTAAGTCAGTAAGAGGGGTTCTCCGTAAGTATTGGCGTGTGGAGACTACTTTGTCACTAGTGGTGTGCGACAATAATAAAAAGATAAAATCTTTTTGCAGTGTTTATAGCATAGACCTAAGGACTTTAACGTTTCAAGCTGTATTCTAATCGATCTGCAACAAAAGCATTATACTTATCAACTCCATAATTGTAATAATTTACCAAGCAGTAGAGCGCAATTATGCGCTTGTATTGTGCCGCATACGGATGTAACTCAAAATCGTCAATCAGAATAAATAATATGAGAATATCTTTCCATCAATTTCCAAAGAATAAAGATTTATGCAAGGTACTTATGTGGTAACTTGTTAGGATATGAAGTGATCGCCAAATGTAGCTATTAAGAAGTTGAATAATACTTGTGAGTACCCGATTTATTACGGCTATAAAGATAGTGACAGTCACAATTTACAGTATTTGTGTCAATGGTAAAGATATCTTTTTGATGCAATTATCCTACAAAGTATATATACAAACTCTACTATCGCAACATAAGGCATTTCATTATTACATTATATTTTAAGATCATCTAGATTGTTATAGTATTCCAGTTAGTAAATTATCTTATAGTAGATTCTTAGTTAATGTAAATAACTGGCAAACATATCCAAGTACTTATATTCATATATATTTAGGGGATAGGTACTGTATTATTAGATATTTATTATTAAATATACTATTATAATTTACGTATAGAATAAGCAAACTAATCCGTTTCGATCTTCTGAAAGGATTTATCGCATACTATTGTTCCAAAATCGATTTTATATGGCTACACCGGCTGCAAAAATTATGTATCATACATAGTATTATTATGGTTTATATTACCTGAGCATAACCGCAAAGCAGCTAGCTATATCCAGGCAATTACACTTGCTAGAAAGGAAAATACAGATGCCGGTGGTGTTAATGATGATGAAAAAGAAGCTAACAATAGCCGTAAGGCTAAAAAAATTAGCTCAGAACATTGTAAACGAAGAGAATTTAGCTTTTGGTCGTACCGAACTCTCATTACCATTTTTCTAAATGTTTAAGCTTGAAGATAAGTTACTAATAAATCTATTGAAATTGCGGCTTGGCTTGTTTGACTTTGATTTAGCATCGCGATTTGTACAACTACTTCAACAACAAATAATATAATCAAGCTGTGGATCAATTTGATTCATAAACGTGTATGCATCGTCAGTATTTTGGCCAAGCAAAAGTAAAATTCTGCATCAATTAAATCCAATATGGAGACGGTGCTTTGGTAATGTCATCGTTATGATTGGTTTTACAGAAATGAGTATAGCGTTGTAAAAATTGCCAAATACTAACATGAATTATAGACCCTAACCCTAACCTTATGCTATAGTCGGATCATTAATTGCGATCGACATTCGAGTTTCCATCATATTTATCTCTTCATAGTATACCAATGATATATCCCTTGAACAAATATGCTAAATATCCGGCTTCAATAATCTATTAGAAAACAAGTTCAATCAACAGGAATTGCTATCAGGTGACATTATCATTACACTTAGAGAATTTATACTATCCCATCGGTTACAACATCTAGGATTGAAAATGATTACTACTGGTAGTATGGAATCTAATCCACTTTTCCATGCAAGTCGAAATCTGATTCGTATCAACATAACCCACAAATAACGGGTTATTACCACCTTCCAGCATCATTGCAAAATCAATATCTGAAATTCAAAGTACTTATCATTTATTTAATAATCTCTCAGCGAATAATTTACCGTTAGATTATGTTAATAAAGAATGGATTTCCTGTTGTTTATAGAATCAATTATCCGATTCTATTTTAATGCTCATCCGAGCCATGAAGAGCACATAATACCGTATTCTCGATAATTATATAGGCGTCTATTCCAATAAACGAAAATGAATTACTTCAAAATATTACGCATTATACGGAACTGATGGCTTTAAGCGGTGTCTAACCTCCAACGTTTATTATAACAATCACTTAGAGATCATTGGTATAAGTAGACAGCATTGTCATTGTGTTTTAAGCCATAATTAGTAATAACCCTTCCGTTCTACAACTTCAACTTAGTAGCCAATCGAACAAGAATAAGAATAAAGACTCATATTAGTAATGAGTCACTTGAAGTCTTAAAAAGAATATGTATAATATTTGTAGTAAAATGCAGAAGACAGCAATAGCTCATATGTCAGTAACTACTGGTCTTCAAAAGAAAAACAAGGTAACTTTGTATAATGTAATTATTCTTAAATGTATGCAGGAAAAATGTTAAATAAAATATCATTGATATCTAACTCAAATTTTAGGCCGCTAACGGTAGTCACTAGATTTATTTCGCGGATTTGTGTAAACATTCGTGAAGAAATTTAAATTATTAATATAATTACAGTCTTCACTTTGCTTTGATAAATATGTATACGATATACACGTTAGAAGATAATGATAAATAATTCCATAGGAAATTTCTAATAATTCAATTTATTTGATCAATTTTTGATTAGACCTGTAAACTGATATAATGTATTGCTATCAAGAAACTACTTAGCAAGCGAAAAATGGTCGTCTTGTGGGTATCATAGTATACGAGTAGATCGATATTTCAAGTTGTAATCGTATCCCATTACGTAATAAGACGTACGAATAACAAAATTACTGCAATAGCAAACTAATCAATCTTAATAATAGATATAATTATCTATAGCACTGGTTTGTACCACTTTAGTAGTTACAATATTTATATCTGAGCAAATAATATAATCTACAAAATTGAGATTGCTCGTATAACTGTATAGTTAATTCATTCTTTTCATTCTTCAATGCCGATAATGTATTTAGAGCGTACATCCATTCTGTGGGTCATCATACTGTAGATTTTAATGCAAAGAGAAGATTTATCAAGAGTAAGATCTTCATACTAAGTTCAAACTTGTAGCTCATATGGTACAGTATAGTACATATACATATACGAATTTATTACCGTTAAATATTGAACAAATATTTATTCCACTAATCAGGTAGTCGAATATTTAGCTCACTGATAATAAATTTATACGACACCAGCTTGACTATCAGATTAGCTGAAATAGCTACTTACTCATCATACTAACTACAGTCGTAAAATATCATTAGCAATACTCTTCAGCGTTGCATGTTGTAAATAGCATCTCAAGTCAAAACTGTACACTTACGTAGGTATTATAAATGAATATGGGCATTAACTATAATTATCATCATTTGCATAGATATTATTAACAATTATTATTACAAGAGATTAGTTAAAAATGTGGTTGGTAAACATTTCGTAATTACGTATACTATCAGTAACTTTACTGCCAGTTTATAATTTAGTATCCAGTGTATCATGATAACGTCTGTGGCAGATAGATCTAATTTCACTAACTGGTAATTAGCTAAAATACGATATATCTTACTATTGTGTTAATCAACATAGAGTAAACGTTTAACATATCCTCAGATATATTTTTCCTATTATTACAGTGGAGGATAAGAAATTGCAATCTGCGCACAGTAAGCAGTACTTCATATTGTATAGCATTAGGCAATCTACAGTAGCTTCATACATCAAGATATTACTGTAAAAACCTGCCACACTGGATTGTATAGAATAAGACAAAAAAAATCCACGATTTACATTAGCTCTTAATCAATAAAAGCAAATATATGGCATTACAAATATCCACTCTTCAACGAGGTAAAATGTTGCATTAAACAAGCCATGGACTCCAATTACCCAATACATAATAATTCGAAACGCAACACTACGCTAGCGAGTAGTACAATGACTATCACTGCCTTTGAGATGGCCACTAAATATCATATAAAAGTGCTATGAATCTAACAGTGTTTCCATTCCACGTTGTTCGTCCCATCCACTTTTTGACAAAGCCGTTCTGCATGAATCCTGCAAAATTTGAAACAATTTGTTGAAGAATTATGGTCCTATTAATGATGAAATAGTTTTAAAATAACTGTATTGGCATACATCAGAAAAACCAGTTTCAGATAACTTTCGGACTTTCTCATGAAAGTCTTGGGTTTTTATAGGTCGCGCTATGATACAAAGATAGTTATTACAATAATTAGTTAGTTAGTTTCATAGAATGAAAGAAATACGCAGGCTATTCTAAGAGTTACCTTTTGCATACGCTTCAGACCAGTGTCTAGCAGTCTTCATAAATAAATGAATGTTTTCATTGTACTATTAGGAAGTTGAAATCAAAGATATTATGAGGTAATAAATAACATTTCTTCAGCTTCTTAGAAAAAGAGCGAAAGCACACGGTCTTTGTAAAGAATTACTTGTTTAGCGACGACAGCATCTTGTGGATCGTCCGGTTCTGCAGCGCTTAGTAGTACCTTTTAATAAACGATGCAATTCCCATTAGAATTAATAACGACTACCAATGGTTATCACTAGACGATTTCCCATAAATCGAAACATTAACGCTGAGATAAGTTATATTACCTGTAATGACATCAATACGGTTCTTAAGGTGAGAGCTGCGGCCCTAAAAGATTATCATTTATAAAGTATATAGTAATCAACTCGAATAGTTTGAAAGCTGAAAGCTTAGTGATAAAAAAAGGATATTTAGATCAATAAGAGCTTTTTACAATAGAACACAGTTCGTATTAAAATATTGCAATGCAAAAAAAGGCAAAATGTAACAGATATATAAAGTCGAACTTAAACAGTGCGATTTAGTTTGTCCTTTATAATTTTGTCACTAACCAGTTGTCTTTTAAAATATCAAGGCATATGGCACCAGTAACTGAACTAATGTTCGGATGCCATATTCTAGTAATAAATTTCATCTGTATGAAAAGAAAAAGATTACCAAAATTAATCGTGAATATAAGATTGATATCGCATTTGACGCTTAATGTAATAGTCATACTGTAATAAGTAACAAATCAAAAAAATTTCATTAACTAACAGCTAATAGAAAATCTAAAATTGAACGAACAGGCTAAGCTTTGGTCGTACAACGAGTTTGAATTAAATCTCTTTTAATTTATACATAAGTATACTAAAGTGGTATTTAAAATTCCTCATAATATAACATAGATACTCGCACATTTTCAAAGAGTTGCCCTATTGAATTTCATTCTATTCCTATAATCTGTTTTTCTATTTAGCACTCTTACCTTTGGGGGGTTAAACGGGTAAGAATCAGGTATTTCAATATCAACAAGAAACTTTCCACCTAATAAATCATAGTAGCAATTTATATCAATATGCTAATTTTGCTAGGTTGTCACTTTCGATCAGTATGAAATTAAATATATAATTTGCTACTATCGGTATCTTATCCTAGTTAAAAAATTATTATAAAGTGGGTATAAAAAATATAGTCGATTTATAGATATAAAGATAAATAAAATTTATAAACTCTTTACTAAAACTGTTGTAGCTGAATTTTAGGTAACTAACGAATTATGAGCTATAGCAAAAGGAAGCACTAAAGGTAATCAACGTATCAACATTTGTGTAGTACTACTAACTATCAACAAAGTACTTTGCTAAACCAGTTAATGATGTAATCAAATTATTTCTTTCAAGCAATATCATTTTTAATTGCTCTTAAATAAACTTATTTATAGCATGCAATGATCACCATAGTTAGTTAATATTGCCTTAAAAATTAAATCATTACACAGATATTTCATAAAATTGTAATTAAACTTGTAGTTTCATTTATTCTATGTATAGTAATACAAGAGATAGATACGTATGATCTATTTCGTGTAGAATAATCTTTATCGTTTCCAAAAGTATTCCTTTATTAAGCATGCAATAGTAATACGGCAACAAACCTTCGTAGGGTGTATCTGGAGGACCGGTGATTTCGCCCAACAGCTTTGTAAAATTATTTTCATTTAACATTTTGATACATATGCCGCATCTTTTGGCCTGAAAGATATTAAATGTATCGTAAGCTATGACGTGCCACTTAATAAGATTCAGAGTTATGCCTCAACAAAAAACATCAAAATATAATTTTGGTAATTGTAAATTGTCAAATATTGTAAAGATTGCGTAGTAATGTCACTTATATTACTACAAAATATCCAAAACAGGTCAAAGGGAAGTAACTTCAATTCGCTGTCAGAGTATATCATGTCGTTTATATTACCCAAAAACATCCAAATAAGGTCAAAGGGAAGTAACCTTAATTCGTTGTCAGTATATTTACAGCGATAATATTTTAAAACGTAATATCCAATAGGGAATATAGCATATTATGAAAGATCTCCTTAGTAAAACCAATTACTTGTAGTGAAAATAAGTGGTAGGATCTAGCCATTATCAACTATCTTCATTATAAAATGAATTAGCCATACAAGGATTAATACGTTTAGTCATTCATTCAATCATAGATATCCAGTATTATGCGTTGATTGCAAATTAAATAACGAATATTAAATAACTTAGTGCATTATATCTAAAATAATTTATTTTTTGGCCTAGCTACAACCCGATCCATTACCGTGAATGAAACGTTATCATTTAATTTTACTACCTACAGAACAACTAAACTATAAATTACGTATGTTCAATCATTTCTATTTCAAGATTTTAGATCAGATCCATTGATATTAAATTAATTAATGATACTTTATTAGTAAGTCTGTATACAGGATATATGTCTCTTTATTGACTCTCTAATCGTACAGTTTTATATATTTCCATGGTACATCAGTATTACATTATATATTTCAATACAGTATAGGTAGGTTTTGATCAATTTCTTTTTCAATAAAGGCATAGTAGCAACGGCTACTGAATCCTTCATTCATCTACAGCTAAAACTAATTCTCACAATTAGGCTTGTGTTAACACATTCGTATGGGATATTTCTCGAAGTTTATCTATGCGATCAATAGAATTAATCGATATCACGCAAGAATTGTAAGATAGAAATAATGATGGGATACAATCTTTTTTTATAATTGATTGTAATCTAAGTATTTCTACAAATTTCTAATGTTAGATTTGACTATACACGTAGTACATAAATTCTTCTAATGGTAGATATTTGTCATCGGCCGTACTATGATTACAAACATTGCCTAACTTTAAACTCTGCATCAGAAGTAAAAAGCGTCATATCAAGGAAGAAAGAGTGATTAATTGGCTAATAACAATGTTTTTGTCTCCTTCTTTTAAATTTTTTCCCAACTTTAAATATTACAGTCATTCAATTAAGACAGTGTCATTTTCCATTACAAGATGACTTATCGATACCATACCATTTTGATAATATAATTGATCTGATCGACCCGATCAAAGATGGTTTTACGGTTAGCATGAATGCTAAGTTACTGTACGCTTATGTAGTTTAATTATTTCTCAGACTTTACTAATAACTAACTCATTATGATGACCAAGCTAATTACTCATGTCTATCAGAGTTTACTAGAGTAATCAACTGTCATTGGAAAAATGGAGAGGTTACCATTATTGCTTAGTAAGCCATCGATATCTTAAGTATTAACTTGGATTTTAATTCTAATTCTAACATCATTTTTTAAGGTATAATCGTCTACAACGACGATATAATCTCTAGATTTATGTATTCAATAATAAACTTATGTCTTGTAAACGATCCAGCAGCACTATAACATGAAGAATTTTTCCAATTTTGCAGTAAACTATCGTGATCCCGACTGATAATACCGTATATACATACATGAGTAACATGATAATTTAAAATCTTTTCCAGTTCAAAAAGGCACGATAACTCTTTAGGTATTTAATACTCCCGTGTCTAACTTTCATTAATTAATCATAAATAAGCATTTTTATGCTATTATATTTTCAAAAGAGTCGCGTCTACAGTCTATACTGCCTTTCAAGATGCGGTAGCAAAGTGAAAGTAAACTGCCCATCTTATTTACTGTCATCTCTTGTAATTTCATCAAGTATGACTATGAAGAAAATAAAACATGCTGACATCATATGCATAGCATAGAGTACTACCGTCGACTTAGCTGCGGTATACTCTATGAAACTAATTTAATTCAAGCACTTTATAGGGGTGGGTGGTAGGGGATTTATCTAGTCTTGATAATGAATCAGTGAATAGAAGAGCATTGCGCTGTAATGGAGAATAGAATTCTTCTCATTGTGAACAAATTGAATCGTATGATATCCAGTGCGACAATTTTGCACCATTTAGGTATATTATGATGTATTTACTGGTTAATGACTTAGCCCCAAGACCAGTTGTACACAGTTGTCCAAGTATGCCAATGTACTACTATCGTATTGCAATGGAAGTTAAGAAAAGTAAGCTGTATTCAAGATTTTGGAGTAGTCCCTGGCTTTGCCATCAACAGCTGAAAAAGTATACAACTTGCATTTATTTACTGTCCTAACAAACTCTAATTCTATTTTATGGATTGATCCAATAGGCTAATGCAGTCCATTTGGCAACTTTAGTCTACTCGTATTGCCTATAACTGTATTGATAAGCACTATAAAAATTGATTGAACTCAATTAGAAATGAACAAATCATTGTCGGTCAATTCTGTAATTAAAGGATTACAATATGGACGATGTTGGTAGGACATTTTGAACTCGTGATTGATGCAATCACATCATGTAGGTGATGAATGCATTGACTTTACACATTGACCTTGAACATGGTGCTCGAAGCAGTCTATACTACGACTAGTTTGATTTGTTGTCAATGAATCCGAATATTGGATGATTGCATTTATTGTCCCAATCCATCAACTCTCTACGGACGCGTCAGTAATGTGTTGACCAGCGAAATACTGATCCATATTGACCACTACAATTGGTGCAGTGGTGTTATTTCAGCTATGATCCATCAGGTCGATTTCAATGGACTAGTGGAATGGTACTTTGCAACAAAACATTGATGCAGGCTCTGATCGATCATGTAAAGTAGGGAGGAAAACAGAGGATTGGATCAGAAGTTGGGAATGGACTAAATGAATATGTCATTATCCTACACAATTTTGGTGGCCTTGACTGTATCCAAGTCTAGCACCATGCTGGCCAAGATTCAGTTTGATTTTGAACAAGGTACAGTCTCCTTCTCTTAAAAGCTATTGCAGATGGTTGGACATCTTTGCTGCCATCATCATGACTGTACGGTTAAAGTATTAAAGTATCCCACGTCAAGGTCATCATCAACTTGGCTGGTTGTGTCCAGCTTTAGGAATAAAAGTAGTTGTATCGTATCTTCCAAAAAAAACGGCGAAATGCGACAAATACAAAGCGTGTAAGAAAAACTCTGGAATGGCAAGACTATTGGAATTACATTGACTTGTATGTCTGCCTTCCTCCATCCTTGTTCATTTGAGTATTGTAGAATAGACATGGAAATGGATGAGTTGATGTTGCAATGAGGATTGTACGCGTCTACAGTATAGACTCCTATGTATGTTAGCATATGCAGTACAGTAGGTTATGTGGCTTTGAAGTGAATCATGGTAAAAGTAGGGAACATGGATGTGTAAGTAAGCATTCTTCTGGCTATTGGAATGGAGATGGTTTTCTAGCATCCACCTTTCATCATTCCTTGTCAGTAAAGGTGGTTGATGGAAACCTTTGTATCGCCATCATTTCAAGGACTGTCCCGATGGCCAAAGATCAATATAATCTGTATGATAGCATCGGTTGACATTTGGACAAAGGATGTAATGTAGTAGGATAGTATTTTAGGCTGCAGTTGAGTACAATCCGCCCTGTGATTCTCTATCCATGCTACGTATGGAAAGAGAAGTAGGGTTAAGAGAACGATTCTTTCCAAATGACTACCACTACCACTACCAGTGGTCTGTCTACTCAATGACAACCTAGATGATGTATTATTGGATGAAAAATGGCGATACTATGGATCTATAGAGAGGAAGATTGGATCAATGGTTACAACATCATTGCTATCAACATCCTCCTGCTATGCTGCTGCCTATCCATTGTAATCCATCTTGAAGGAGATGGGCATTACACTGATTGAAATGGATTTTACTTGTTCTATCTAGGATTGATGATGATCGAATGGAGGATGATGTATCCAGTGCAAAATGCTATTGTGGATGAGGCAAAAGCAACCCAACCAACCCTTGCTTACTACAAGCTGTAGACAATCAATCATCAGCCAACACCCTACAGCACAATCATCACCAAACAGCCTACAATACAATTCAAGCCTAGTAGATGATTTTGTGCTATTTTCCTACTTACCTCTTCACTTTTGACTACTTCTGCAAATTCTCGCTTAACTCGAGAAATGGAAATATTAGCCATCGCGTTATCCAGCCAATTTTGGTCGACGTTGTCGTTACCCTGATGACAATAAACACCACCAGCAATATCAGACTCTAGTATCATCGCTTCATCAGTCTATTTGCACCCTATGCCAAGCATACTGTCGACAGTCATGGAGAGTTTGTCCATGACAAAGTGCACTGACAGACGGACAAGGACGCAATCGTGGCGTTCTTGCCGGTAACATTGGAGTCGTGCTTGGTACAGTTGAAGTGGACAGTATTGTACTGTAGTGTACAATACTGTCCATTGTAGGGTGCAGTGACGTACAGTACTGTACTGATTGTAGCCAGGTACTGTAATCAAACAACCGTCCTACACGACTCAACTACTGCGTCTGAACTGCAAGGAGAACTGGTGGATACCAATTGGGACCGTACTAGAGTCAGGAGTTCGTTGGTTGTACAGTACACTGAGTACAGTACTGTACAGTGTACTGTACATACTGTACTGTACTGTACAGTACAGTGACGTACTGTACAGTACTGTACTGATTGCAACCGCGTACTGTACTAGAGTCAGGGGTTCGTTGGTTGTAGACTACAGTGACGTGCTGATTGCAACCACGTACTGCAATCAAACAACCGTCCAAAACGACTCAACTGCTGCGGCTGAACTGCAAGGGGAGCTGGTGGATACCAGTTGGGACCGTACTAGAGTCAGGAGTTCGTTGGTTGTACAGTACTGTACTGATTGCAATCGCGTACTGTACTAGAGTCAGGCGTTCGTTGGTTGTACTGTAGACTACAGTGACGTGCTGATTGCAACCACGTACTGCAATCAAACAACCGTCCAAAACGACTCAACTCAAATTACTGCTGCTGAACTGCAAGGGGAACTCGGTGATATCCATTGGGACCATACTAGCAGTCAGGGGTGGCAGCGAGTGAATATAGACAACTGGACAGTCAACTAAGAAGTAAAAGCTTCTTGAGAGACATCAGATCATTTTGTGTCCGTAGTAGCAACAGAAAATAACCACCGACTGAAGAGAAAATTGGGCACCTGGAGAATTTTCTCTACTGTACAGAACGTACCTTTATTATAGTACAAGTCCTGGTTACATTTCGACATGATACTGTACAGTATACCAAGTCATGGACTGCTAGAAAAAGGAACCGTAGTCCGTTGCCGACGTACAGTACTATACTGTATGGTAAAGACTCAGTGTCAGTGCAGGGTCAATGGTGTACTCCACTTACTCAGTATACTCAGTCTACAGTACTGTACTGCACAAATAGCGATGTCGTGATTGACATCGCTTTTCGTTCAAACGTGTCATAGGGTCAACGTTGAGGACGCTACGTACACCATACCATACCGGACCCGTACCGGTACCACTAGATATACTGTACAATCAGTGTACATGATATATGTATACTGACTGGATATTAATTATTGGTATTTGGTAGTGGCAATTTCCACGTAACAGAGGTCGAGACCTTAATCAAAGGGTCTGTAAATACTCTATAGAGTGTTGCTCAGCAAATTATTGCATAGTGTACAGTGTACACTGGCTGACGACCAGGTCGTTCGTTGCCTACTGTGCTACCTGGTAAAGTACCTCTATCGACGACTACGTTTTCCACTAGTCCTTGCCGCTTGCCTTTTTAGCTAGCTCCTAACACGGTTCTGTAGAGAACTGTCATTGAATATCGAAAATCGTTCAAGATTTCATTGTATAATTATTAGAAATCCAAATCAAAATGTCATCGGGTGTACCTACTGTAGAATTGTATAAGAGAGTGCGCATATTGAGAGGGAAGCCAAGTATCAAATGATAATCTTATAGCATGATCCAGTCAATACCTATTGTAGCCAAGATCAATGCCCAACGAGTCTGGACGAGAAATAAATGCGCTAAATGGATGATGTGATTAAATCGACTCCAATCAACTATTACGCCTATTTCAGGGTAGAGACAAATAAAACGGATCAACTAAATTCAATGGATCCAATAAAACTTGTTATGGCAAGGATGACAAGATGAATGATTGTTTTGAGAGTCAATGATGTAAATAGAATCCAATTCATAGACTAGAAAGGTTGGGTTATTCCATGGAATTTCCACACCTTTCTCTAATCTATCTAAAATTCATCTACTTTAGTTAGAATTAGGGTAGCTGGTGAATCGGCAATGACTTTCTACAACTAAAATTCATGCAAAATTACAAATTAATCGACGTTAAAACCTTCAAGACTACGTTTATACAATATAATATGCTCTAAATGAGGAGGTTGATTTAAAGTAGACGCGTATAACTATGTTGTCCATTTAGAACCGCTTTATTGATTTGAAGGTAGCACAAGCAAGCTTTCTACAGCATGTAGAATAGGCTCTGAATGAAGCGTTTAATTTACGGCATAGAACTTTGTTGTCCATTTAGCTCAGCTTGATTGCATTGAAGCTAGAATATCCCTAGCTACAGGATATTCTAACGCTCAAATCGATGCAATGCTACCAATTTGTAATAGTATGACCCCGTTAGTAGTAAGTTATAGCATAGGCTTTCCTTGATTGAATGCTTATTGCAAGTACGTGTATGCCAAAACAACTGAGTATCAAGGTGGTCAAGTTTACTTATATACCTTGACTTGTAAGGCCTATCTTGTAGCAACAACACGGCATGATTTTATCTAGGGGATTTTATCTATACATTATATCGACATTCTAGTGCTAATTATTCCTTAGTCTGAGAAATCACACAGATGCAAATAATTGCACCCAAGGGTGATACAGTCATGATTCTTAGTATGACAAAACTAATCGACGCCAAAGCTTTCAAGGGCTTTATTCAATGCTATCGCAATCGTGGACTTTAGAACATGCATTGGAGGATAATGCGATATAGAATCAATGAGACTTTTGATTGATAGAACTTGGTTGTCTATTTAGTACCGCAGCCACCACTTTACATGATCAAAGACAGAATATCCCTAGCTATACGCTTATTAAAACAAAATCAGTAAGGATATTCAAAGGCAACAACAACAATGTATGCTATTATTAGTTGAAATACCTACAGTATTGCATTTTATTGTTAATCTTGAAAAAATTTGCAATGCGTTTTCCTACAAATTTGTCGTCGTAATCCCATATCTTATTATATATATATATGACACCATTCATTTTTAAAATACCTTTACAAATTGATAATTTAATATTACATTATACCATAAATAGGAATAAAATATCTGGCTATACATCTGCCATGATAGCTAATCTTTTCAAGTCTTTCCATGGTCCATTACGAGTATTTCGCTTAGTGACAACATAACGATAGTATAAAATCTCCTTTAGGAAGCAATTCCATCTTCGCTATGGTAATGCAATCAATCTTAAAATTATATCTAATCCAAATGATCAAAAAAAGATATCCCTTCCAATCGTTAACTAGAAGATATTTCATCCACCCCTAGTAGTATCAAAGGCCAAAAAACAAGAGTGTACGTAAAATCTCTTTCATGAAGTTAATCCTACTGTTTCAGCTACAGTAGTTTTAGGATAGCTAGACTTTCCATTTTCGCTGTAGTAAAGCAATCGATCTTAAACTTTTACCCAACCAGGTGATCATGATAGGATACCCCTTTCAATCGTTGACTACAGAAATTACATCCACCCTTTGGCGTATCAATACATCCAAATTATTCCTCTTCGTCCATTTATGATAGCATTTAACCAAACTATTTAAAATATTGATAGCTTTACTATCGATCCGATGATGCCAAAAGTATCTAACGACTATTTGCCTATACAGTCCATATTCGTGTAGCAAAGAAATAATTTTAAAATGTTCAAAAATCAAGGGATACCCCGACACCAAATCAAAGTGCTGTTCTTAGAGCTTTAAACCTCCTGCAATTATAATATATAAGTCAACACGAATCTATAATTAATCAATCGATCGACTACTATTAGCATAGAGATTAATAGCTAAAGTAAAATTAAAACGAACCTTCAATTATATGAACAATCATTTCAAGTGTTAATCACTATCCTTAAACAATAAATACCTAGGCATTATTTTAATAGTAAATAACTTTGATGAACTAATTGATTAATGCAACAGATTGAAGCCAATATGGTAGTAATACCAAAGTCATTGAATACATCACTAAGCAGCCTTTACATCAAGAAGTACAACGTCTATCTTACTATTCTGTCTGAATAGAATAAATTTAAATTCAATTAAGTCATGCATGCAAACGCTGTGATTTATTACGATGAGTCAATAAAAATCATGCAAGCCATTTAAGTTTAATTGGTCGCAATGGATGGTATGCAATATGTTTCTTCTAACGGGCGTCCTTTCCAATCAGTCAAGCCCTCGCCAGCTGTCACTAGAATCAGTGTCAACAACTTGAAAACTACAAAATTGTAATCATTATTTTAAGAAGCGGCGCAAGTTGCTTGACTTTTAGACAAGGTTAAGATGAAAAATTGCAATCAAGACTGAATCACCCAAGTAAGAAATTGAGCCAACCTACACTTCTCCGATTGTACTTCTTCTCAACTTGTAGGTTTAGTAAGATTTAATAGAGGCTTTAGGATCTAGTAGTGATGATCCTAGTCATTAAACTTAAGTTTTACTTGAAAATCAATTTAATCTCACTGTGCATCATTTAAATGATTTACTAACATTTTGATTGCATGCTATTATTAGTAGTCAAATGTTAAGCTTAAATAAGAAATTTTCCAAACTCTAGTTTATCCTATGTATTTCATTGATAGCAGTTACTTTATTAAATATGCTGCTACCATAAATTAAAGCCATCAATCACTTTTATTTGATCGATAGCTTATCCTTTTCGTTGCATTCTCTCCTACTTAATCGTTCGATATCCCCAAATTTTGTTAACCTCTATAATATCTTTATATCAAAAAAGTTTTAAACTTTTCTGTTAGCTACAGTATAAATCAATGATATGGTAGTATGGCGGAAGCTTTTCCTATTTAGTAAATCTCCTCCGCCTAATAG